CTGCCCACAGGACATCTCTCTCGCACCTCCTCCCTTTGCTCCTGGTTGGGGGAAGGGTGTGCAGCCATGGGTCCCTAAAAAGCTGTTGTATAAGGAGGAACCAGTAGCCATGGTCCCAATCAGATGGGCAAATAAGCCTTCTCCCCTGGCTCCCTCGCCGCCCCCTAAAAGCCTGGGGATTCCCCCCAGACCTCTCCCTCTCCAGCACAGCCTGGCCACATGCTTAACCCTCTCAGTTGGGGGTCCTGGCCAGGGTCAGCCTGCAGAGTGCAGGAGGGAAAAGAGAGGCTGCAGAGGGCTGTATAGGTGGGAAAAGAGATCCAGGTGAGTCCCAGGGGTTAAAAGCATGGGGAGGGGCAAGAGGGAGCCCCAGGGCAGGAGGGAAAGGGAGCCAGGCCACAGCCCGTAGGAAAGAGCAGGAAGAAAAGGGCTGCCAGAAGGCCAACTGTAGGGTGAAAACTATGAGGAGAGGAGCTGGGGGTTCGGTTCGGTGGGAGGCCCAGAGGGAGGCAGGGGAGGAGCAGAGGTGGAGGCAGGAAGAGGCGCAGGGAGCAGCTGGGCAGAGAAAGGCAGGGTTGGGTGGAGTCAGAGGTCAAGGTGGGGATGTGGGGCTGGCCCTAGAGATCAGAGAAGCGTGAGCACAGCCAGAGAGGCTGTAGGGGTGACAGAGTCAGACAACGGGTGGCAGGGTCAGAGGGTGGCTGGGAGAGCAAAGGTCACAGGGATAGAGGTCAAGGGCAGGGCAGAGGCAGAGGCAGGGACAGGGGCAGGATGCGAAGGCCGGGTGAAGAAGCAAGGTGGCTGCTGGCACAGGGAGGGTGAGGGAGGCGGAGGACTCGGGGGCTGCCCTCAGCCGTCTAGGAGCGACCAAGCAGCAGCCCAGGGCCGTCACCCCGTGGGGGCATTTCTGGAGGCTGCAAAACAGCGAGGCCCTGGCTGCGTTCGGAAAGGTCAGAGGACACAGGTGGCCTCAAGGAGCCGGGAGCGGGACTCCGGCCGGCAGCGGGCCTGGGCTCTTGGGAAGGACAGGCAGGGACGGGCCTTGGAAGCAGAAGCACCAGAGGAAACCCCGGGATCAGGGACAGAGGTTCTGAGGGCTTCGCACGGGGGGACGGTCTGAGGTGGTCCCGCGGAGTGAGGGGCGGAGGGGGCCTGGTGGGAAGGTCGGGTCGGAGGTGGGGCGCCCCTTACGATGTGCAGCTGCAGGTAGTCGCCGAGGCCCGAGGCGCTGTCCACGCGCACCAGCACCGCGCTCCGCTGGTGCGTGCTGAAGCCCACGGCCAGGCGGTCCATCCTCGTGCTCGGCCGGTCATTGGGGGGCCACGTGTAGGTGATGAGCGCGCCCCCCTTCCCAAAGATGTACGTGGTCCCGGCTGCAGAGAGAAGGAGAGGGAGAGGGAGATATGACATCGGCAGGTTCGCGGGGCTGTGCCCGGAGCACGAGGACCCCAACCTTCCTCAGGGTGCAGAGCTTCCGCCGGGATGCCCACAGCAGCCATGGGCCTGCCGCCCTGGGCAACAGTGGCTTTAATTACAGCAAAACGGAGAGGTAACAGAGAGGGGGACCCCGAGAGAGCCCAGAGGGAGGCCGCAGAGGACCAAGAGGACTGCTGGGGGCAGGGAAGACCCGAGGGGCTGGCGAGGTGACAGCTCCGAGGTGCGTGCCTCTGAGGGCCAGAGCTGGGCAGGCCCCCAGGCAATGGAGCCCCCGGCGATGGCAGGAGCGGGAGCAGGAGCTGTGCTCAGCTCTGACTCACAGCCCACAGGCTGGCACCCCTCCAACGCCTGCCCTGCACCCCTCCAGGCCCCTGGAAATCCTGGCCCCAGTTTGCCCAGGACTCCCTGCTTCCACACACAACTAGGGGCTGCCTGGGTCCCAAAACAGGGGGGCCTGGAGCCCTGCCCAGAAAAGGAGAGACAGGCATGGGGGGTAGGTGGGAAGTGAGACTGACAGCCAGCGGAGGAAGAAGGCAGAGGACAGATGGACAGAGAGGGGCCGAGAGGGGTGTAGGTGAGAGAAAGTGGGAGAGTGGGAGCCAGAGAGGAAGGCTCCCTCTCCCTGCCCTCCCCCACCCCACCCTCTCTCCCTGTCTCCTCTATCCGGCTGCCGGGGGCGGTGTGAGGTCCCTAACGATCTCAGCCCCAAAATAAACCCCATTAGTCTCCATGTTCCCTCCTGCGGCTGACTGGGTTCCCTGGGGAGAGGATTCCCCAGACCAGTGGTCGCCCACTGGTGGTCCGTGAGGTCCGGAAGGTTGGCGGCCGCTGGCCTAGAGGACGAGTGCTCCGGGTCTTCCGAGAAGGGAAGAGACAACCTTGCATTCTTTAGAGCATAAATGGGGCAGATGAGATTCCTAAGATGCTTAATTAAATCATTAGGCACTAACGACTCCTCTCAAGGCACTTCTTGGGGGCAGAGGGGTTCAAAAAGGATTTATCTAGAGAGGGAGAGAGGCAGCTGGGCCGGAGGGCCAAAGCCTGGAGTCGGTGGGAAGGAAAGGGGGGCCCTGGAGGTGGGGGAGCTCTGGGCGGGAGGGGAAACCTAGGGTCAGGGAGCTGGGGGCCTGGGGGGCAAACATGAGATGGTAAGATGGCACCCCAACTGGTCACGCTGAGGCCAGGACCTCAAGCGCCTCTGGGTAGTTCAGGCAGTGCCCTCAGGGACAGGGGACTCTAGCCCAGGAGGTTCCCAGATCCCCCAAAAGAGGGGGCTTCTGCGAGCCACGGGGGAGCTGAGCAGAGGAGGCTGTTGCCTGGTCCCGGAGAGGCAGTGAGGCCAGCAGGGGCCTGGCGGAGGGGGGGACAGGAGCTACTGCCCAGAGCCCTTGTCACCAGTGCCCTGTCTCCCCAGGCAGGGCCAGAGAGGAGAGGTGACCCCCGGAGGCAGGACGGGGTGAAGGAACCACCTCGAAGTCTACTAGCTGACATCTGCCACAGCCTGTGGCCAGGACAGCACCCCCAGCAGGCGCCCAACGACCACGTCCTTCCTACCTGCTCCCCTCCCCCCGGAGGCCCAGTGCTGGGGGCTGATTCCTCAGGGCGGGACCCTAAGATTAGGGTGGAGAGCTGGGTGGGGGCAGAGGACACAGTGAGCTGCAGCCCGGCACAGGGTGAGCCACCTGCCTGGAAAGGGCAGGGCCGGGAGCAGGTAGGCCTCAGCCAGCCGCAGTCTCCACTCCCAACGCAGCTCTCCGGCTGTTTCCATGGCGACCGTGATACCATGGTCCGCCCTTCTCCCTCCACTCACAAACTGCATGGCCAAAGTGGGGGTGGGAGGGCCCGGGGAGCTGAGATGCTGACCTCCTCCACACCCGCCCTGCCTCGGGGCCAGAGGCTGCTGCCCTTTCATCCCTGGGCTCAGGGGCCCCCCAGTCAGACGAAGAAGGGGCTTATCGAGTTTCTGGGCCCCTCAAACCAGCCAAGGCAACGCCATGTACCTCGGGCCAGCTCCCAAATCTCCCAGGTCAGGCGGAAGGAGTCCCTTTCTCCTCCCTTTCCCAGCCAGGAACCCAGACTCCACCCCATCCTGGAGAGCGCCCTCCTGCGCCCGGGCGGCCTGGGGTGCAGGCAGCCCATGTCCCACAGGGCATGAGGCCGGAGGGATCAGAGGTGGCACTGGCACCCCAGGCCCCAGGCCCCAGGCCCCACACCAACCCACAGGTAAAGACGCATCCGCTGCACACAAAGGCCCCGCGTGTTGAGGCCGACCCCCCACAGGAGACGCGGGGCACCCGCGA